CATTGTATGAAAGTGGAAACATTGCTTCACAAATGTGTATTCGAAAAACAATTCAGTATTCCAAAAAAATAGAATGCATCAAAATCCTCTGGTCAAGTTCAGAAAACCTGGCGCAGCTCCCTACTGTCAGATACATTCCCATATTGCTTTCTCTTCGATTGTTGATTTCTTTCTTTCAAGTGATCATTCAGATATATTCTATTCGTATCATATCTATTCCTGATATATTCTGCCATCTCAGATACAGGTCTATATGTGTGTGATAACAAGGAGGATCTTATTTTTCGAAAATAGACATCATATACACAAGATCATATTACGAATTTAACACATTTATTTATAGAAATACGTAAGAAACAGAGGCAGACCACCCAGGCAAAAAAGGCTTTATTGACCCAATAATATAGTATATTTTTGATTTCTTTGTTTTTTATTTTCGATTGTAACTAAAAATAATACAGTTTTTCTTTTATTTATTCCTAAAATATGAAATTATTACTGCTATTTAATGAATTAATTATTGTTCATTTAATAATATGAAATTGCTCAATAAAGTTTTTTGTATTGCTCACAAATTATTGCTAAAACGTATGTTAATTATTGCTGATTCCAATATTTTTTATTGCTCAAATAAATACTAGCCTATTTTAATATTGGACATATATGCCGCGTTGATATGGAATATATTTACTCGGAAAAAATTTTCATTTCATTGGCCGTAAGTGCACAAGCATGATTCATTGAATTCGAATAATCGAACGATTACGTTCTACTTTAAAGAAGCGATTTTTTTCTGCCACATAATTTTATTTCTAATTTATGCATATTTGTATTCATCATTATCGTTGTTTTTCTCTTACTTATGAGTTGTGTTGTATTATAATGATGCAATAAAAAAAAGAATAATTAATAACCAAATCTGTTGACAAGTTAGTATTGAACAAAGGAGAGCAGTATAAAATTGTTGGTATTGTTATTGATATTTCCGTTGGTAAATTTCGGGATTAGAACAAAGAAAACCAAACATTTGTATTTTTACGCACTTTGAATATTTCTTCTATACAAAAAAAAATTGTCTATTTTGAAGCAACAATAATAAGAATTTAGACTACAATAGCGATTGATTGACTATTTTCTAATGTTAAAAAGCATCAGTTACATTATAAGTCAATCACAAGAATTTGTCGAACACGACTAATAATAACTTGTCTATTATCTATGAAATATTGTTTTTTCAATTGAGAATGTAGAATGTACAATTCATTAAGACATTTGTTCTGATTCAAATCCATGACATGACATTCAATTTTAATTCAACGCTTTGTGTTGTTTTTTAGAAGTATACAATACCACAAAACGAGAACAACAACAACAAAACAAAACGAGGATATGATGGACATATTCATCAAAGGTTAAAATTAAAAGTTTGTTTTATTCTTTTCGGTTTTTTTTAAATTATTCATCTATAAACGAAATTCACGAACTATGAAATACAAAAGTATACCAAATACCGGTGTAAAAAAATAAAATAAAAACAAAGCATTGTTGAGATAAATATGAAAAAGACCCTAATATTTCTTGTGTTGTTCAAATTATTATATTCGAAGATATAAAACCAAAAGAAGTCCTTTTCCTATTATTAATTCAGTCTACACGCCGACTTTTTTTGGCTTTGGTTTTCGATGTTTTTTTTTTGAAGGGACTGATGACGAGTACAAATGAATAGCCAGATCTTGATTGGAACAATTGCAACTACATGATCTCATAGTATCTACATTAACTTCAGTTGGTTTATTCAAATTTAATTTATTCAGTATTGCTACAATTAAATAAAAATCAAATAATTAAAGAAAGAAGAAATTGAAGAGAATAGGATATAGAGACGATCTAACTCTATAACATGTAAATAAGATGGTTCATGAAGTTAATTTTTTTATTCTTTATAATAAATGATAATGCTGGTCATAGCACTTGCATTATATGGAAATGAAAAAAAAAACGCAGGCATCCGAAAATGAATAGCATTTCCAGTTGAATCAAACATTGTTATTTGATGAATTCAAGCATTTTTTTTGTTCACCAATTTCTATAGACAATTTGTCTTTGTCTTTTGATTTGAGATCTGTAAAAATGACGTCCAATAATGGATCATTCTTCATGGATTTAAAATGCTTTGAAATACTCGTTTTAAAAGAAATTTTTGCTATTATTTTTTGTCCTGATACAAGAATATTCTTCACTGATCTGACTACTTTTTATCGATTTCATACTAATGTAACTTTTATAAAATGTTCGTTTGATTGAAAAATCTAACCTAAAAAAAAGCATAGAACGATAAAAATCTTCAAACTCTATGGCATTTATCAATTAAAAACATGGAAACTATTCAAATAATATGATAGCATCAGACACTGATAACAAAGATAAAAAAATTGTTTACAAAAACAGTAGTTTCAAACCTGAAAGTTAAATTCAATTATGAAAGATCTTTTCAGATATTTTGATATTGTCCCTTTTGTGTGTGTTCTTGTGATATCCTTATCGAGGATGTTGCTTTGTGTGTGTGTGCTTTCATAAATGTCTAAATATTCGAACTCAATAATTGAATATTTGAATATTTGAATATTTGAATTTCAGATATGCAGATATTTAACTAGTAATTTGAGCTTTCATGTTTAGTGTATATGAAATATAACGAAACCGACTATGAAATATTTTGATTAGTAATTAGTTTACCTTAAGTTTTTCTTAATAGTTTCCTTCTTACTATTATAAAAACTTAATTATGGTTAAAACAAATTTCATGGTTTATTTTTAACATCTATTAATTATTTCTCTAAGAGTATCTACAAAAAACATATTACTGTTTGACTTTTTTATATGTTATTTAAAAATATCAATATGTATTACAGAAATACTAGAAGCGAAAGAAACTACAGAAAAATCATTGATTGATGTTACATTTCATTCGATTGACCAATTATTGATAATATATGAAGCTATGTTATTTGTACTTGATGTATAAAATTGTATACCTTCATACTAACCATCATTTGTTTTGAGCGATTCATTATGAAGATAATTTATAAAATCTAATATTGATTGACTTTTTTGTTTCTTGTTCATATTTCATTTCTTCATAAATAATGTTGATGCTACTCTGAATGTTTCTGTTGAATTGGACAAAATGAAGCATTTCAATATCTTTTATTATTTCTTTTCATATGTGCCCAACATATTATTTGATTATAACGAAAGAAAAAAAAAGAATCACACTATAATACATTTCAATTTCTATACTTGTCTTTTCATTTAATTTACTGTTAGCTAAATATACTTACTGATTCTCAAATTTATTTTACAAACCTAATTAGTTAATAACTGATTATTGAAGGAATATACTGATAGCTTATTCAATTTACTGGTTTTATAATATTCTAATCTACTAATCACTTAAATCATAGCCAATCTATTCAATATGTTTTTTTTTAATATTTTTGGATCAATCACACTACCGACTGTCCACTAAGTAACAGATCAGTTTTGCTTTGCAAAGAGCATATGAATAACCGTATAGAGTTCAGCACAGTTATTTCTTTCTTCTACTGTATTTTTCGAAAGATTGTTTAGCAGCGTGAAAACATTAAAGGATTGATTACAAGAAATAAAGGGGTACAGCATCTTCTATATCTTTACATATATTATTTACTCATGCGAAAGGATGAAAACAAAATATTCAAATATTTTCGTCTTCCGTTGTGTTTGATCGATAGAGAAAACTGTTAACATAGCGAAGAAATATATATGCATATTTCCAATGGTTATTTGTTTTTTCGAGAACTAAATCTAAGTTGTTTCTTCTATTGTTAAACTTAAACCATTTGATTTGAATACGAATAATATTTACACCATAATCATAATCGTTTAGAGTATTAATATAGATTCAGTCGTTCAATATTAAATATTTGTATTATTTATTCACATAAAAAATTTGATAATATATGTATTTGCAAAGAAATATTGCACCAAAAACTTCATTTTTATTGAAATAGTCAAGGTCATGCGTCCTATGTTTTGAACAAGGTATGTATAACAGTTACTTAAATCAAATTTTTTGCCTACCTTGATCGTTTTCAACATAATACATATTTTCTTATTTTACGGTTCACTAAACAAATACAAAGCAATGAAAATAAATGATTATTTATCATCAACCAAATGATATTATATTTAGGTCATTTTTGATTTATCACAAACATCACTAGCATACATCACAATGTCATACTTTATGCTCTTTATTTGACAATGCATTTCTTTACGATTGATTAGTTATTAGAAAAAAAACTAAGGAAAAGAGTAACTCATCATGCGTAGAAATTTTATCTTTATTCATCGATTAGTGATTAACTGTCAATATAATGTGATGGAGATTTGAATAAAACTCATATGTCACATAGTTTTATTTATTGATATTATCTTATCAAAAATTTATCATTCATCTAATATATATGATTAGTTTTTCGACAAAATGAGCATAAAAAAAATCTGTCTGACTGCAGAAAAAAACCAATTTCGTTACTTTTTCATTGTGATTCTAAAAATTATACTCTGATTGTGAAAATCAAGTCCAAATGGTCATTTCTTTATTTGATCAGATGAATAGACTTTTTCATTTTTATTCAATGCTTTTTAATGTTTTTTTGTTGTGCACAAAAAAATTAAAAGTAAAACACAACAACATTAAAACAACACATGAGAAAAATTGAAAATGAACATGCGCTTAGAAATTTGCTGTTTTTTTTTTGACTCACAACTAACTTGTATACCGAAATTCAATACGCAATACAATATATGTAGAGTGACTGAAACAATTATTGTATCAATAATTAAACAAAAACTGAATGTAAAAATGAATATCTTAAAATAATGTCCGAAGTAAAATGTAACATATAATATGAAGCATATACAAATCTACGTAAAAACTGTTTTTTTTTTGTTTGTTATTGTTGTTTTTGTTTTTGTTTTTCAGTTCTAATAATGCCTTTTGTACGTTTAACTGTCGATGTTTTCCGAGAAGATAAAGTGGGATATACACCGGTACCTGTAATGAAGTCGAAAGGATTGAAATTCTTAGGCATTGGTGCTGGAACAGTAGTTGTATCTGGATCATTTAAACGAAGTTCAGCTAATTCTTCTACGAAAAAATATAAAAAAAACACATAATTCGAAAATAAGTTAAAAAACGAACTAAATACATACGATCTAATGATCCTTTATATAAATAGCTTGTTTGAAATAATTCTTCTCCTTTATAGTAAATAATGATATTTACTTTCGCAGTATTGAATTGTGGAAATGGAAAAGCTGGCATTAGAAAATAAACAACATTACCATTTTTAGTAAAATTTTCCATTGAATAATTCCAGCTATATGAATTTTCAACAATGTCAATTTTTAAATCATTTTTAAGGATACGACCCTTGAGAACAACATATACCATCTCTTGTCCATGCATTGGTCCATATTGTGGACCCATATGTTCAACTTCAACATCGCCATAAGCTAAAATATTTTAAAAAAAAGTTTTTGTTAAATTTATTTTTTTAAATCAGAAATCAATTTTTCATACCTTCAGTCATAACAGAAGAATATTCTGTACTACCTTCATCACGTTGAAATTCTCCTTTTCCCACTTGAAAAATACGTGTAAACCGGAGGATTGACTGTTCAAGTTGTCGTGTACGAATCAATTCTTTTGTTATAATATGATCTTGTCTACTTTTAATCATTTCAATCATAAAACTATTAACGATAAAAATATACAAGATTAAAATATCAATAAATAAATAAATAAATAGTTACGTTTTATATCCGTTCTGAAAATCTTCATTTGTTAAACGAAAGTATAAAACATTTGAATCATTTTGTTTAAAAATTAATGCATGATCTTCATATGTATCTGAACTAGTTTTATTATCGATAGAATATGGATGTGGTTGTCTATCGATGCCCATCAGAGCAACTTCAATAAGATTTACATCTGATTGAAAATTCCATGTCGAAGGAATCTAAAAAGTAGAAAAGAAAAATGGTTCATAATATATTTCAGATAGATTGATCAATCGTATACCAAAATTGTTGGATATTCCGGCTTGATTCCTTCTTCGCATCGTACATAGTGAGCCGAACTTTTACTTTCATTTTGTGTTCGTGGACGGTATTTCGCACGTGGTTGACATTGAATTTGAATTTTCTTTGAATCCATAGCATCATATTCAATAACTAAAAACAATAGATTGAATTAATCATAAAAGAAAAAATAACGACAAAGAAAGCACATACGTTGTTGTTGAGATGCAAAATCATTGCACATTTGTACAGTAGTACATGGTTGACAACCACTCGAATCTAGAAGAAAATAATTATTTATTTATTTATTTATTTATTGTTTTAATCTATTTCAAATTTTAATCATACCTAGAATATAATCGATAGGACCAACAGTTACTGAACGTCGTTGATGGGCTATAAATAAATAAATTATAGAATTTTTCAATCAGTAACTGAATAATTAATATACTTTTGGTGTTTTTTGATTTTGCTTCTTTCAGTAATTTTTCTTGCCCTCCAATAATAGCTTGCGTGCATCTTGAATCTGAAATAAGATTAGAATAAATAAAAAATGAAAATCATCAAATTCATACAATTAATGGCTTACTAAGATCAACTTTCGATTCTACTGGTGAATCACCAACTGGAACAGAGTATGATGGTGGATATACTAAAACATAATAAGCATAAAACTTGATGAAAAGAAATAAAAACTTGAAAAATTTACTCCATTGTGATTCGTTGAAATACGTTTGATTATTATTTTCTATAAAAATACGATGTTGTAATTGTTCTGTTTCAGTTGGTTCATTTTTAAGTGAGTCAAGTATTTCTAATAATTCATTATTATCAATTGGACAATCAAATAATGTCAATGAATGATTTTCTAAAAACAAGAAATTGTATAAAGAAAAATAATTTGTCTAATGTCGTTTTTCATTTTTATTTTTCTTGAAATGGTTAATTTCGAATCTAACGAATATTTTTAAAAGTTATATCAAATAGAAATATAGATATGATTTAGTGAATTCTGAAGTATAATACATTAGTATTCATTTTTTTTTATCTAAGATAAATATACAAGTAAGACTTCATATTTACTTTTCTCCCACGTGAAGTTTTACTGATTAAAAAGAAATATCAAGATTAAAAAATATACAGTTACGTCATCAAAATTCACCTCAAAAATAAGAATATATCTCTCTTTATATGTATGTTACATTAGGACTTACGGTGATCAGATGAATTAATAAGAAGATTGATATCGTAATGTTCACTATTACCGTTTGGAGTAACGGGAACTGACATAATATCAGATGGAAACATGACAGTATTTGCAAGTATCTGTTCGAAAAATCGAATAAGTTTTATTAATAATATTCTCAGTTTTTATATCTGACATACCTTATCGAATTCATCATTGGTTGATACACCTAATATTGACGACGGTTGTTGTTCACCATTAGGACTCGATATTTCAATTGCTGTTTTAGGAGACGATTCCATAAATGTTGTCAAGAACCGCAATTTATTTGATTGATCTAGAAGATGATACAATCGACGGATAGATATTTTTCAACTAAAACTATCTAGTGGCTCGATACACATAATTATATAATATACGGCCTCGAATGTTGTTGTGACATTGACTTTTATCCCTGAGATGAACTAACGTCACTGTGATTGTGACTACCTACGTATAGTGACGGGTCGAAAGCAAAAAAAAAACACCGACGTTATCATGTTTTTGTTTTTCGCATTATTCATCTATGATATTATCAAATAACAGGGGGCTGAGCAAAACAATTTAATATTCTTTTTTTTTGTTCATTGACAAGTATTATAGAAAGAATAATAGAATATTGAATTGTTATGTGTAGATAATATATCGACAGTCATTATTTTAATCATCGAACTCATTGATACTAAATCGTTATTTGTTCAATACTAGGATTCAAAAAAAAGGACCAAATATCAATAGTGAATTATGTTTGATTTAGGGATATGCACTTTAAGATTATGGATAACCGACGTTACTAATGGTAACGTTCATTAAACACAAATAAGATCGCTGTTAGTACTTATTGGAACTTGACTACACTGACACTGGCATTCATTGGAACCTTGATGTCCTTCACATCAGCATTGACTGAAGCATTGATATACGCAACATCATTGACGATCACTAAAATACTGATTGCACTAGCATCGGTTTTCAGTAAAATACCGATTCATCACTGTCGATTCCCGTTGACTATAATTTATACGAGACTAATATTGACATTTTCCAGATAGAATATCTCGATACATAGAATGTTTTTATTGAATGAGAGCATATCAACTTAATAGTTTATCAGTTTTTTTTTTGAAATCTGATTCTAATTAATATTATTCTTTGTTAGCGAAGATATAAGTTATTCTTTGGCTATCATCATATAATATATGTTGTATTTTACCTAATATTTTCTACACTTTGTTATTTTATGTTTTTCTTTCACTCTCTCTCTTCGCTTTTGCCCATTTGTCTGATTCATTTTTCCATTTTTTTATTTTCGTGTACGCAATTGATAAGTGAAATTAATGTTTTCAACATCACCTTTCACATTGTCGACACATGTTATTATGCGAATGAAAAAGAAAGAAGAAAGGATGAAATATGGGTTTGTCTGTGAGATGAGACAGGATGTAAGCCATACCCGTTTATGTACTAAGCCTAGATGAAGAAGTGATGTATTTCTGTAAAGTTCATATCTTACTATTCACAATAATAGATTGATCAAATTTACGATATTGTTTTGAGAAGGGTAGATGTACTTCTCTAACTATTTTGCGTTGATCATAAGGAGTCAAAACACAAAAGGTGCATGCTTTGACAGAGTTGATGCTTCAGTATTCCATAGAACTTCGATGTCAGTGCAGTCAGTGTCCCAATGATTCTCAGTGTTATCACTGTTCTGATGATCACTGAGACCGATGTCATCGGCGTTTAATGAATACCACCATCGTTGATATCAGTGTTTTCACCAACACTGCACATACTTAACTGGATTTAAAAAGAAAAATTTGAAACAGCGTATTTTTCTGTGAATCTGAAAAAAGATTTTTAGACAAATATATAATTTTAAAGACTTAGTGGTGAAATTTGAAATCAAATTGGATGCTTAGCAATACCTAAAATTAATTCATGATATATTCACCTAGATTGTTACTAGAAAAATGGATCATAAATTAATCTTCTTTATGATTAACTACAAGATTCAAATAAGACTTGTACGGTAGTGTCCTGTAGGAACACTTTTTTTCTTGCCGATCTCTCTCAGAAACTAGAAATGACATTATATATTAGCATTTTCAAAAATTTCTTGCTTTATTTTCATATACATGAAAATATGTTTACGTAACAGCTTTTTACTTGTACGTAATTAACCAACTTTACCTCCAATCAAAATTCAATTTTAATTTAAAGTCATATGATCCTGTCAGTTTACTTATCATAGATAACACTGATACCGAAGTTTAGTGATGCACTGATTCACTGAGACTACTGTTCATTGAAACACTGCCAATATTGACACTGATATCACAATGAGATTAATGTGATGTTCACAATTAAATTCATCAAATGCACTAACATTTACTGACTACAATTCATTGAAAGAAAAATTCGAATTATCATCCAAAATAGCAGAACATCTAAATTTTTGGTATTATTTTAAAGCATATAAGTACTCATATCAATATTTTACATCGTTGAAATAAACTAAAAGTGCAAAAAAGTAACTACTCGGACGAAGTCAGTACTTCTCTGTTTTATTAGCAATCAGTATCCATGAATTAATGCTTCAGTAAACTTCAGTATGAGTATCATCAAAGTTACAGTAAATACTAATGTTAATGTATTAATATTTTAGCGAATCGCAGTGTCAGTGTTCAACTGCTTCAGTGACTTTCAGTATCGGTATCGTCAATTGTAGTATTCTAGTGTTCATCTCGACGTAGAACATTTGTAAGCACGAGAAGCTGGCGTGCGGTAGTACTAATTTTCTAGAAACATGAAAAATAAAATAGTACTATGAATTCAGTGAGTTTTACGAGAACAAAAATTGAGAAAAAAATCATTCTTGCAGAATACTAGTGTACAAATAGAAAGAAATCTGCAAGATACACCTACACTATAAATAGTGTTATGTATAAATATATATTAACATGAAACTGATGTTGAATAATCAAAATTCGATTTATCAATTCCAGCGGATTTTATCATAGTTTAAATAGCTGGTTGACAGATTACCTGTCTATATCGTTCGTTTCAATTGGACTCTACATAAAATCGGTATCACACTTGATGAAAATTTTTACCAAAAAAAAGCCTACTCTCGATTGATGTTATTTCTTCAAATGGTCTAATAGTTTAGATTGAAAAGATCTACTGACGATATACAAATTACCAGCAAAAATCGTTGATCATTGAAATTTTAAAGTAGGTATTGAACAAAAGACTTTATTGCACATGTGAAGCTAATAATGCGATAATATAAGTGTAAGAATGTATAACTTGTAGTTCTTTATAACAAGTTATTTCAATGGCAAAAAGACATATGAAAAGCCTATGTCGCAGTATATGAATATCTTGTAAATACCCTGCTTGCTTTGATCTTCTTTCTATTTTTTTTGCGCTATGTATGTTTTAATACTCCCACATGACGTTTTTATTGACAGAAAAAAAATTTTTCCCTCTTTTTTTTCGTTCTTATAATTTATATTTGAAGAATGTCTAACATTATAGATACCGAAGAAAACGAGAGTAAAAAATAAAAAAAAAGATAGAAAATCACTGTGAGCAAACAAAAATATGTGTGATGCTCGTCATAAATCTTAGCGACATATGGTGAGAGTCTAGACAACACTGTAAAATGAAAACGAGAGAAAAGCAAAAGCATTTTACGTTTAAGAGTACCCGTGATTATTATATGCATGATTGAATAAATAAGCATAGATGCAGGTAGAAAGTAAACAGTAGATATATATTTTCAAAAAGAGAACGTAACAATTAATATAAACAAAATACATAAGAGAGAATAAAGGTGAAGAAAGTACATTTTATTCGACCAATAAAAAAAAAGTAACATATAATTTTTTCACAAAATATATTCTCTATTGAAAGTTTATATGTAAAAATAGAATATGAATATCACTGGTTTTATAACAGCAAAGGTCGGAAGAAAAAATAAACTCAAAATTTTAACATCAACAGCCTGAGTTGCTTGATGCATTTACTTGTCGTCAAAGTATGAAAGAATTTTTAATGTTTTCTTTGTCATAGAAATGAAGTTTTATCGATGCATTGTTTGAATCGATGATGAAAAAAGTAATTCGAGTGCTGAAATAAAAGTTAAATTATAAAAATTTCGAAGTGCGACTGTGGAAGGAAGTAATGATTCAACTATTCGATAAAAATCTGTTGCAGACTAAAACAAAATATAACAAAGTTTTTGACAAATATATACATATAAAGCATACATCTAATTTTATTTTATATAATTGCCAAAGTGTTGCACCAGTAAAATTTCTTAAAGCATTTCCAAATCTACATATTGAAAACAAAATAATTTAAAAAAAAAGAGAACACATTTCATATTTACATTTCTAGTTTTTCTCGATTTAACCATTCAATAACATCATAAGCAGACCATTCATGAACATTTTGTAAATGAAACAATGAATTATTCATTATCGTTGTTACTTGATTATTGATAGGCATTACAACTAAATAAAAAGTTTTAAAAGAAAACTTTTTCTTTTTCTTTTGAGAAAATAATTATTTTATTTACTATTTCGAACATTTTCATCAGCTCCTAACGAAATTCGAACAGCTTCAATTTCTCTTACTAGTAAATTAAATGCTTCATCAAATGGAAGTGTTGAAAAATCAATATGAAGTTTAGCACCATTGATTATACCAAGCCATCCTAATGGTTTATAACCTGCTTGCATTAACATTGGAATTGATGCTTTATTTTGTTCAACAGAATATTCAGCTTCTATAAAAACAAAGAAAAAATTGAACGAAGAAACCTGAAAAGATTCATTTACCTAATCGACAATATCGACTCTGGTAATACGGTTCATTAACTGCCATTAAAACAACAAAAGAATTTTCAACAGCTGACGCCATAGAGGTAAGAATATGACCAGATATATTATCTTGATCGATCCAAACGATATAATTATGATTCTAATATATAAATAATAGATTAAAATTAAAAAGAATCAAAAAGAAAAATATCTCATATTAAAGAAATTGATGCGAAAAATCGATATTTTTTGATGATTTTTATGTAGGATTTTTCTTACTTTCAACAATTTAGCAATTTTCGAACATATGAGTTTTGTTGAATGATTATAACTTATCATAATATGTCCAATATCATTTTTATTTTTTTTTTCAGTTTCAATAAAATCTAATGATGTTTCTGATGTTGTTATTGTTAATGTTTCTTCGATAACTGATTTATCTTAATAAATACAGAATATTTTATTTAAAATAAAAAATTTTGCTCTTATAAATACCATCTTCTTCATCTGTATATGGTACACATAAACTAAGACTATACTTAAGCACTGGTCGTTTACATGGTTCTTCTATTGGTATGGCTTCAGTATCTGACATTACAGTAGAAAAACTATCTTCAAGTAGATTGGTTTCTTGTTTTATCGGAAAACTAACATCATCATCATCATCATCATCATGTTGTTGTGATGGCTGTGGATGTAGAGAATCTATTGAATAAGAAAAATAAAACAAAATTTTCTGGCAGAAAAGTGACTGACTATCAATTGTATTGATTGTAGTTGTTTGCGTGTGTGAAAAATCATTACCTAAAATTTCGAATATTTAATAATAGATTATAAAATAAAAACAAAAAAAACAGATGTTTACTATCATCAGTAGCTTCTGTTGGTTGTTGATCTTGTACATCTGATTCACATTCATTATCATCTATAGAAATGTTATAAACTTTAAGTTAAAGAAAATATTTTAAAATTTCAATAGTTAAATATTAAATTTATATAATTAGAACTTTTTGTTAAATAGTTTTAATACATGTTGGTAAATTTCTTTTTTAAGAATTTTACTATTTTTTTAGAATTTTTAAACTTCTACAAAACAAATAGTAATGTTTTTTCTTTGATGAATCTTATCTTCTATTATCTTGTTTTTGTTTTTATCTATATTTATTTTTATAGACATTTATGTAATATTACCCTCTCATTTAATCATACGATCTTTTGAATTTATAAACATGAATTAGAGTTTGATTTTTTTTTTTAAATAAAATTCTTACGGTCGATTCGGAAGAGTCTTCTAGAAAAAATAGTTGTTTTTTGCTATGAATCATTGATTTCAAAAACGAAAAATCACAACAATTTGTCAATCGATTCAACTTGAATAACTTTAATAATAATTTTTAATTTACAAAAAAACAAAATCATTCTTACCCAATTCATAACAAAGATCATTACCCACTATTTGTAGATCTTCCATTAAATTTGACATTTGTCGTTGGTAATCTTTGGTTGAAAATGAAGACTATTAAGAAAAGCAAAATATTTTATCATTTGAATTAAGAATATATATATATATATATAATGAAATACTTCTAAATCAAAATAATCTGATGTATTTGATTCATTAAGATATGACGTTAGTAATGGTGTTGTAAAGCCTTGAAAAAAAAAGAAAATTTTTGATACATAGAAAAAGCGAAATAAACACATAGTAAAATAACATACACATTCGTTCGGTATCATTATCGTCCATGGTAACTAGATTACTGAATATGAAAGCTCGGACTGATATCTACTGACCATGTACAGCGGCTAGAGAATTTTAGTTCTGAAATTATTAATATACATATAGATATATTACTATTGTCATATACCTTTTATGTAAAACAAAGGAAAAAGATAAGCACAAGAAGTTTTATGTTCTCTTTCATCATCATCATCAAAAAACACAAAGTAAAAAACAAAAGTATAGCAACCGAGAATAATAAATGATTCGTTAACTAACTATATTGCAGACTCTATATTTAAAATTGGAAAGCAAAGAGAAAACGCCTAATCATTCTCACTAAAACATATTGTTTGATAATTTCCTTTCGTTTTCTTCGAAAAAATATTATACCCAGACATTTAAATTAGTCAATATATACACAAAGATTATGTCATAATGAGCAATGAATGCATGATTTTGATCTATAGATGGAATTACGATGGTAACATTTTGAAATAAAAAATCTAATAATGTAATTTCACAACATATTAAAATTCGCATGTTGTCATTTATGCATTGCTGCGTTTGAATCACTTGTTTTACTCTAACAGGACTTCACAGTAGCAGCTACCATACAGCAGGTGTGATAAGTGACACCTATACAGATTCTTATTTATTTTCAGACAATCTATTCAAATATAATATCACTATTGAAGAGTTTCACGTAATAGAGATTTGATCTTATTACAAACTTTGAAAAAGATCTATCGTCTTTAATTTTTTCGAAAAAAAAGGCAAAATTATATGTTTGTAGTTTAGCCAAATATTTGAGAAAAATGGCAAGACTTGTTTGAGATATAGTTATAAAAATGAATTAAATCATTCTTTTTTTTTTGAAGAATATTTAGAAAACTATATTGAATCTAAATAAGCATAGTACAAGGTATGATCCAAATATTAGATTCCTATTCATCTTCATTTACAAGAAACAAGGAAATTTCTGCTCTTAAGATAGGAACATTAAACAATGTTAAATTATCTTCTCTGTACATTTTTTCGAAAATTTTCGTTTTCATTTTTTTTACCATCTAAACCCATTCTATTACAAAAAAGAAATCATTGATCAGAATACAAAATACTGTTAATCCAATCCCTATCGAACTAACAAGAGAACCTATCCGACTAATAATCTCCGTTTGAGCTTATATTTTGCTCATGGGTAGGATTCATATATAGATAAAAATCCTGAAAGGGTGCGTACCATTATGCCTTTCTTCTCGAGTTATAATCATATTACTGGACATTCAGCTTATTACAGGATATCACGAAAAAAATCGCAACAAGGGATTTTAGTTTGAAATTCTTCCCAAAAACTAGCTCTCATGATCCTTATGATATCCTGAAAGTTTCAGCACAAACGAATGATTTGTTTCCGAAAATATTGTGTGCCTAAAAACTGGATCGTTTTCGAAGCGCTTGTGTGAAAGTAACATTTTTTGCAAACGTATTATCTCAGAATGAAAACATTCGTTTGTGCTGAAACTTTCAGGATACTATAATGGTCATGAGAGCTATTGATGAGAATAGTTTCAGGTTGAAACACCTTGTTGCGATTTTTCTTGTGAGATTCTTCCATAGGCTGAATGTTAAGTAGTATGACCATAACTTGAGAAGAAAAGTCTAATGGCACAAACCCTTTCGGGATTTATATTTACAATATGAGTCCTACTCATAAACAAGATATGAGCTCAAGCGAAGATTATGCGTCAGATAAGTTCCTACGTGAGACATGAAACATAGCATTACAATTTTCATCTTAGGCATCAAGATTTTATAAATGTTTCTTTTATTTGACATACCACAGAATTATTCAAAAAACTAAAAAAAAAAGCTGTTAGCACCATTAGTATTTTGTGTATATAATGACGAGTAGTCTCTAGGAGTGATAGATATCGATATGTTTAACTTTGAATTAAAACTTTGATTATAAGTCATGTTTTAAAAAACATTCAATTACTATTTTAAAAAAATCATTATATATTCAATCATATTATATTCGAAATGTCTCTTAGTTTTATATGTTCGATGACTAATAAAGTACAAAAAAAAAGCACAAACAGGCCATCATGTTCTGCGTCATATAGTGTTTGCTGTTTCGAAGCATAAAACAAATTTTATCATATATGAGCAGGACGAAATAAAAAAATAAAAGTAAAAAGACCATAGGTGGATATATATTTGTTCTTTTTTCTTGTTAAAGATAAACATAAGCTTTCAAAAACCAAACAACAGATTAGCGAAAAAAAAGTAACAAAAAAAAATCATAGACGTTGGAATGAAATAGGATAAAAAGCACCTAGTCAAAGTTCACTAGTTTTTTTTTTATCATTCTTTAAATAACAGCAATAATAATATCTTCGATTAATTTATTAAATATATTTTCTGTCACGTTGAATATTATTGGTTAAAAATCAAAGAGAGATTCATAATAATAAAAATTTCGGAATTTTCAAAGAAGTACATTCTTTATTAAAGAAAAACATAGCCCATTGTCGATATTAAATAAGAATTTTTGGTTCAGAAATACTTTCACTAATGGCTTTATGTGGTAATATAACACCACCATTAATAAATAATTCATCTTGTACTGATACATCAAGTCCAAGTACACTCGTATTTTCCATACGAACCTTAAAAAACAAGAAGAATTCTAATTCAATAGACAAAAACAAAAATAAATCAACTATTTACCCATTGACCAATATTACATCGCCAACCAATAATACAATTAGCAATCCATGAATGACTTTTGATTAATGAATCTCCGAGTACTGTACTGTTTTTTAAACATACACCATCTTGTATAATAACTCGTGGACCAATAACAACATTGGGTCCAATACGACACCGTTCACCAATTTTAGCTGTTGAATCCTGTTTAAACCAAATTATAATTTAATTGTTTGAATGAAAAAATAAATAAATAAATAAATAAATAATTAAAAAAAAAGTCTTACCACTAAAACATTGCCAACTGTACCATTTTCTCGTGATAATCGATCAGGATTGGAATGTCGAACATAGTTAAGATATAGACTCATTCCAGTTAGATAATCTTTTGGTTGACCAACATCCATCCAAAAACCTGTAAAAATTTATTTTACATTTCAATAAAATCTGAATGTAATTGAAGTTAATTCAAAGAACTTAATTTATCACGATAGAGATTCAAAAATAAGTGTTTTTTTTTATATATTCTATCAGTTTATGTTAAACATTAGATTTAGATTAACTTCGAGGAAATTTATTATTTTTATAATTTGCTAAATACATTCTAAGATTTTTACCTTGAAGTTCATATGCATATAACTGTTTATCAGTAGCCATAGCAGGAAATATTTCTTTTTCAATCGATGTTGGTCGTAGCTAAATAGAAAGAAATAAACTATTTAAAACATACATATCTTTTCAAGCTGAAATAATTTACTTCAATTCTATTAAGTACATTCCTATTGAATATGTAAAGACCAGCATTAATTTTATTAGAAACATATTCACGTGGTTTTTCAACAAATCGATCAATTTTACCAGTATCTCTATCATAGACAACAACACCATATTTTGATGGTTCTTCAACTTTAGTAACCTTGAAAATTAAAAGAAAATGATATGTATATTTATTATTTATTATTTATTTATGATTGTTTTTTTTAATCTAAAAATAAATTTCATATTATATTTATTCAATGTACATACAACGATAGTGCCTTCACAATTGTGCTCTTTGTGGAATTTGATCATTTCATTGAACGGAAACTCACATATCACATCAGAATTAAGCACAAAAAATGAATCATTATCAGCTTCAAGATATTCACGTGCTAATGCCAATGGACCAGCTAAAAGAAAATATGAAATACTCATTAATAATGAAAAAAAAAACAAATAATTTATAACTTCAAACCTGTTCCTAAAGGTTCGGTTTCTTGTGAAATTGTTATCTTGATATTTAATCGTTTAGCTTCTACCTCCATTTCTCGTTGAAGCATATCTGATAAATAACTAACAGCTAAAATTACATGTGTAACACCAACCTAATTAATTAAATAAAATTTAAATCAATTATTTTAATAACTAGTATGACACACACACACATACTTGAGCTAATGCTTCAATTTGATGGAGAACCATTGGCTTATTACAAAATTCCACCAATGGTTTCGGTTTTGTAAGTGTTAATGGACGTAAACGTGTTCCATAACCACCGACAAGAATAAGTGCTTGCATCTTCTTCGCTTATCAAATATAACCAATAAAATTTTCTGTTTTTCTGTTAAACTAGAACAAAACATATTACAATTCACACTTCTTAGTTTTTTTTAAATATATTGAAAAAGAAAGAAAAGAAAAGGACGGAAGCCAAGACAAAAAGGGAAAATAAGTATTAATTTTAATTAACAAACTGTATGCTTGTGTATGCTTAAAGTTTGTAATAAAATGTTTGAATACAAAAAGAAGAGAAGGAGAACGCTGATTGATTGTAGATGATCGAGAAAAATGAAATGAAAATTACCAATAAACTTTCTTATATGCATGTGTATACATATATATATATATGTCTATAATTTGACATAGGAAAATATATAGATATTCATCCTACTGTTCAAAGCAAAGAAAGAAGAAAAAAAAAACATAAGATCACAAATTAAAAACAAAAAAGAAAATCATTATTTGTCTTTTGTATTATTTTCATTTGGTTTGATACTGTCAACTGCACGACCAGTTATTAAATCAATAACTTGATCAACATGTGTTTTACAAAAGAAACATTCTTTGCTTGTCATTAAATGCATAGTAATACATGATCTATAAACATGAAAACAAAACAAAAAAAATACCAATTGTAAATGAATTATTTTTTATCAAAAGAAAATAACTTACAAACAAGCTTGATGTTTACATGGACGAAATTCTCCTTGTATTTGATGTGAATAACAAATAATACATATTGATTCATCATTATCATCAGATTTTTTCACTGTTTT